ATCCTTGTCTATGTCGGATATGAGGATGAGGAACAAGATGGGAGCGAGTACTGTGCCTTGTGGAACAGAGCTTTTCACCGTAGCTGCCTCAGACTTTACTCTGTTGATGACTACTCTCTGTGTTCTGTTAGTGAGAAAATTATAGATCCATCGACCGACTTTTCCTGTTATTCCTTTAGCACGCATTTTGTGTGCTATTACGCCATGGTCACACTTGTCGAAGGCTTTTGCAAAGTCTGTATATATTACATCTGCATTCTTTTTGTCTTCTAGTGCATCTAGGACCTTGTCGTAGTGATCCAATAGTTGAGACAGACAGGAGCGACCTGTTCTAAACCCATGTTAACAGCCCTGGGCACGGCATTTTCTAGGGTGGTCATAGTTGCATGTCCCGTCTGTTTTTCCAGATTTCCCATGCCTGCAGATACCAAGTGCATAGTATGTGCACAGGCTTGGTTTCCGTTTGCCTTGGGTTTCTGTGACTGTATTCCCTGTTGGTACATGTTTCCCTGTCTTATTCCTATCCTCACTAGCACCAACAATGGAGCTCCCACCAGTTGTTTTTGGTAATATATCCTCACTATTGCTAGTGGAGTCCTCTTGTTTGCTATTTCCTGTGGTATTTCTAGTTTGCAATATTGGTTTTATCTTATCTTTGACTACACTTGTTTCCCCACTACGGCTCCTGTCCCCTATGAGGTCATTTATATGTATTCCTTCCTGCGTAAAATTCCCAACTACCTGGACAAAATCTCCAGCTTCACCATTACTGTCTCCCAGGACAGCACCTCCCGCTTCAACATTACTGTCTCCCAGGACAGCACCTCCCGCTTCACCATTACTGTCTCCCAGGACAGCACCTCCAGCTTCACCATTACTGTCTCCCAGGACAGCACCTCCAGCTTCACCATTACTGTCTCCCAGGACAGCACCTCCAGCTTCACCATTACTGTCTCCCAGGACAGCACTATCAGCCCCACATTTACTGACTACCAGGACATCACCTCCAGCCTTACAGTTTCTGACTACATGGCCAGTATCAAGGGCAGTACCATCCAGCCCAGACTTTTTATGTTCCCATCTGTTGTAGAAAGCTTCCAGGTTTTCTATGAAAGCAGCTTTGATGTTATCCTCTTTTAATACCCTTGTGATTTTAGTCCACAGATTTATCTCATTTGGGCATACCCAAAAACACTTCCCTGTTTTAATACTGCCTGTAGCTAGTTCTTGGATATCTGCACAAGGGGCGTGACACCAATTTCCACAAAAATGACAATTTATCCATGTGGAAGCCCGTTTGTTTGATTGACTGCAGACTACACAAAGCTTCATAATGATTTGAATGGTTGATTTACTGTAATTCTACTAGCAACCTCTTGAATACTCTTGAATACCTCTTGAATAATGATTTGAATGGTTGATTTACTGTAATTCTACTAGCAACCTCTTGAATACTCTATTAATAACCTCCTTAAATGAAGCTCTAGCTATTTGTATTTCTATTTCTAACTGTACTTGTATATTGGACAGCTTACCGTGTACGTTTCTGATTTATATTTATTGTTTGTGTTTGATAAGGGCGCCTACAACCCCATCCGTTTACAGTCTGCTTTATTGTCCAACGAATCCGTTCGAAACCAGTCAAGGGTTTGGACCAGTCAAGGGTTCGGACCAGTCAAGGGTTCAGACCAGTCAAGGGTTTGGACCAGTCTGATCTGATCAGTGGGTCACTTATTTAAAACATACTGGTCGGTGATTTGGGCTAACACATGAAGGATCTACTTGAAATTATCTACCCGAGTAATATGTGATTTGATTGATACAAAAGTATAACTTGCGTGTTGAAGAACCGGTGATTGCTGGCAGCTCCTACAATGACGAACGGTCAAGCCTCAACCCTTGTTTATCAATCGCTGTATCTAGCTTTTCTAGGTTTTTTTTCGTCTCCACCACAATAAATGCTATATTATCACTATAGTTGACTGGTGGAAATTTTGGAGGAAGGATGCTTTTTCTGTAGTAATAATTGCTTCTTGTTGTGTATATTGCGACCGCTAGTAACTACAGGTTATATGAAATTCACAGTATACGTCTGGTATTTCAAGAAAAAAGAAACTAATGAAAGTCACTCCACTCCACTAAGTACCATTATAATACTGGTTAGTTGCTACTACAACACTGTATTCTGCTATTCACTGGTATCACTAGATTATATGCGAGTACACTAACAGGCCAGGAAGATTATTAAAACAGCAAACCTCTGTGGTAAGTTTCTGGCGATTTCTGGCACCTGTCTCTATAGGCTTATCACTTCATTTACAAATTCACCTGTTTTCAAATGACACTTTAGCCTTTATCATCTATATACTAGGGAGCCACTGTAGTATACACTATACACTATGTATACACAATGTTATCAGGGAGACTTTCTTTCCTCTGACAAAGAAAAGTTCTATTATTATTATTTTGCACACGGAACACAGGCCTAAGATTCCCCACTGGCAGTAAACTCTGCTAGGTAGTGCACACTAATTCTCCTTTTTTGACTCAGTATATAATGTTTTCCGCCCAAGATTGGTTTCAGGCGCTAGAGGGATGTATCGTATAGAATTGATGGGACAAATTAAAGTTCTAGCACGTAAGAGCAACCGTGAAAACACGAGAAAACCCGGAGCACAACAAGCACGCTGACACGGAGGTTTTTAATAACAAGGAGAGTGTCCTTTGCTCGCTTCTCTTTCTCATTTACATCAATGGCCTCCCAAATGCATCTAATCTTAAACCCATTTTTATTTGCAGATGACACTACTTATGTCTTCTTTCACCCAAACCCAACCATACTAACAGACAGTGTAAATGCCGAACTGCTAAAAATATCTACTTGGATGACTACCAACAAACTTACTCTCAATATAGACAAAACCTTCTTATACTATTTGGAAACAGTCTCAAATGTGTTAGGTAAGACACATATGCAACAGTTAGGTATCTTTATTTCGAAACGTTTCGCCTACACAGTAGGCTTCTTCAGTCGAGTACAGAAAAGTTGATAGAAGCAGAAGATACTTGAAGACGATGTAATCAGTCCATCACCCTTAAAGTTTTGAGGTGGCCAGTCCCTCAGTCTGGAGAAGAGCATTGTTCCGATGTCTGAAACAATATTGTTTCAGACATCGGAACAATGCTCTTCTCCAGACTGAGGGACTGGCCACCTCAAAACTTTAAGGGTGATGGACTGATTACATCGTCTTCAAGTATCTTCTGCTTCTATCAACTTTTCTGTACTCGACTGAAGAAGCCTACTGTGTAGGCGAAACGTTTCGAAATAAAGATACCTAACTGTTGCATATGTGTCTTACCTAACAATCTGTCGGTATTTTATACCATTTTAATGTTCAGTCTCAAATGTACAGCTAAACATTTTGATAAATGGTTCACCCATTTCTAGACAGACAGAGGGCAAATTTCTTGGTCTCCACCTTGACTGCAGTCTCAAATTTCAGACACACATACAGTAAATTTCCAAGAAAGTCTCTAAAACAGTAGGCATCCTTTCAAAGATATGGTACTATGTACCCCAATCAGCTCTTCTTGCTCTGTACCACTCTCTCATTTACCCTTACCTCACCTATGGTATTTGTGCATGGGGTTCAACCACCTATTTTACTCCTGCACCAGACAACACACTCCACCGCTTTTCAAGAGTCTTAACTTGCTTAATATACATACATAACATCCACACTTATTATTGTGGCTACTACATACACAGAACACTATGCTCAAATATAAACCCTCCTCTCAAACTCTTCCTAGATAACTATAACAGAACACACAGCCAAAATACAAGACACAAATCACTCTTCGATATCCCTTGTGCCCATCTCTCCCTGTGAAAAAATGATATACATGTAAAGAGCCCAAAGATCTGGAATTCATTGCCAGAACACACTAAAGGACTCCTGTCTACAAATCAGTTAAAGGTCCTACTTAGAAATCATCTCATCACCCAAAATTAACCAGAGAAACTGTACTTAATACCTACCAGTTACTCAAAAGCTACTCAAAAAACTTCTAAATAATTTAAGACTACTCAACTTAAAATTGCTTTGATTTCATTACTTCACGTTGTGCTGAGGATCGCTCAAGCATTTGCCCATTACTTCAAAATTAGTATGTTTAAATTTTATTGTTTTAAATTCTACTAAATTGTAATACATCATTTTGAAAATCATATTGTAAATTATTTTAAATTGTTCTATCGTAATACTGTAATTTTTATAAACTAATTCAATAGTGTAATTATTCTGTACTGAACTTCTGTACTAGACTTATTAAAGCCATATAACATTACCTAATAATACTTAATTATCTTGTACTGTAATTCATCTAATGACCATCTATTGTCTTATTAATCTTAAGTTAATTTTAAGTTTGTCCAAAATGTTCTGCATACAAAGGAGGTTTTGGCATTTACACCCAACTATTATATTCCTTTGTACAACCATGTATCATGCCAAAATAAATTATTATTATTTTTATTAATAATATTATTTTTATTATTATTATTACAATTCAGTTTTTATTTCCTTGCAAGTTCACATTGAGATTCTATAATTACAATAATGAGTTGCAGTACAAAGAGCCAACATCATGCCACAGCATTATGGGCAGACTACCTAATACTAGAGAAATTGATCATAGTTTGTTTTAAGTTGTACATCTGTTTTTATTTATAGCAGAGTAAGTTTACTCAAATTACGATTGTTATTATTATTATTATAAAAAGAAGCGCTAAACCACAAGGGCTACTCAAATTACAATCTGAGGATATTACATTGGGACAAGTTGAGAGTATTTTGTAGGTTGTGTATATCAATAGTAAATATTTAAATTATTATTACTGTATCCAGTGGTAACCTATTGTATCCAGTAGTAACGTACTGTATCCAGTAGTAACCTATTGTTACAGCAATGTCAGAAGGGGCAGCAGGTATAATTACCTGAGTGTGTGTAAAGAATCTTGGCCATCTTCTTGTTGGGGGTTTACAGGGCCACTGACAGGTGACGCCGTATTGCGCCCTGTAATAATAATAATACAGTAATTATAATAATAATAATAATAATAATAATAATAATAATAATAATAATAATAATAATAATAATAATAATAAAAATAATAATAACAAAAAGGCACAATACCTGGAATACACAAATTTATTTATTTATTTATTTATTTATTTATTTATTTATTTATTTATTTGAACATGATACATAGATGTGCAAGGAAATACAGTGGTTAAGTGTAACATGCCAAAGCTCCTTGTATGCAGAGCATTATGGTCAGGCTTAAAATTAACTTTAGATTAACTAAGCAGGCCCGGTTGCCTGGTGGCTAAAGCTCCCGCTTCACACACGGAGGGCCCGGGTTCGATTCTCGGCGGGTGGAAACATTTCGACACGTTTCCTTTCACCTGTTGTCCTGTTCACCTAGCAGCAAATAGGTACCTGGGTGTTAGTCGACTGGTGTGGGTCACATCCTGGGGGACAAGATTAAGGACCCCAATGGAAATAAGTTAGACAGTCCTCGATGACGCACTGACTTTCTTGGGTTATCCTGGGTGGCTAACCCTCCGGGGTTAAAAATCCGAAAGAAATCTTATCTTATTCAGTGTTAAACTTTATTGTAAACAAGTAACAATTAAGCACAAATGAGTATTTCAAAGACAGGTCATATTGTCATTTACTACGTTACTGTGCATTCAGTAGAATGGAGTATTCTGTTAAGTAATGTAATTAAAAATAACAGTTTGATTGGGTCACAGGTTAAATATGAGATACAATTATTCAGTATTTATTTGGTTGTGGGTGAGTAAGTGACTTTTAAGAAGAGACTTGAATTTATAAACTGTTTCTTTTATATTCACAGGTAGTGAATTCCAGATTTTTGGGCCTTTCATGTGCATTGAGTTTTTGCATAGTTTACCTGGAGTTTACCTGGAGAGAGTTCCGGGGGTCAACGCCCCCGCGGCCCGGTCTGTGACCAGGCCTCCTGGTGGATCAGAGCCTGATCAAACAGGCTGTTACTGCTGGCTGCACGCAAATCAACGTACGAGCCACAGCCCGGCTGGTCAGGTACCGACTTTAGGTGCTTGTCCAGTGCCAGCTTAAAGACTGCCAAGGGTCTGTTGGTAATCCCCCTTATGTATGCTGGGAGGCAATTGAACAGTCTCGGGCCCCTGACACTTATTGTATGGTCTCTTAACGTGCTAGTGACACCCCTGCTTTTCATTGGGGGGATGTTGCATCGTCTGCCAAGTCTTTTGCTTTCGTAGTGAGTGATTTTCGTGTGCAAGTTCGGTACTAGTCCCTCTAGGATTTTCCAGGTGTATATAATCATGTATCTCTCCCGCCTGCGTTCCAGGGAATACAGGTTTAGGAACCTCAAGCGCTCCCAGTAATTGAGGTGTTTTATCTCCGTTATGCACGCCGTGAAGGTTCTCTGTACATTTTCTAGGTCAGCAATTTCACCTGCCTTGAAAGGTGATAAGATAAGATAAGATAAGATAAGATTTCGTTCGGATTTTTAACCCCGGAGGGTTAGCCACCCAGGATAACCCAAGAAAGTCAGTGCGTCATCGAGGACTGTCTAACTTATTTCCATTGGGGTCCTTAATCTTGTCCCCCAGGATGCGACCCACACCAGTCGACTAACACCCAGGTACCTATTTGCTGCTAGGTGAACAGGACAATAGGTGTAAGGAAACGTGTCGGAATTTCCACCCGCCGGGAATCGAACCCGGGCCCTCCGTGTGTGAAGCGGGAGCTTTAGCCACCAGACCACCGTTAGTGTGCAGCAATATTCCAGCCTAGATAGAACAAGTGACCTGAAGAGTGTCATCATGGGCTTTGCATTCCTAGTTTCGAAGGTTCTCATTATCCATCCTGTCACTTTTCTAGCAGATCCGATTGATACAATGTTATGGTCCTTGAAGGTGAGATCCTCCGACATGATCACTCCCAGGTCTTTGACGTTGGTGTTTCGCTCTATTTTGTGGCCAGAATTTGTTTTGTACTCTGATGAAGATTTAATTTTCTCGTGTTAACCATATCTGAGTAATTGAAATTTCTCATCGTTGAACTTCATATTGTTTTCTGCAGCCCACTGAAAGATTTGGTTGATGTCCGCCTGGAACCTTGCAGTGTCTGCAATGGAAGACACTGTCATGCGATTCGGGTGTCATCTGCAAAGGAAGACACGGTGGCTGTGGCTGACATCCTTGTCTATGTCGGATATGAGAATGACAAACAAGATGGGAGCGAGTACTGTGCCTTGCGGAACAGAGCTTTTCACCCTAGCTGCCTCGGGCTTTACTCTGTTGACTACTACTCTCTGTGTTCTGTTAGTGAGGAAATTATAGATCCATCGACCAACTTTTCCTGTTATTCCTTTAGCACGCATTTTGTGCGCTATTACGCCATGGTCACACTTGTCGAAGGCTTTTGCAAAGTCTGTATATATTACATCTGCATTATTTTCGTCTTCTAGTGCATCTAGGACCTTGTCGTAGTGATCCAATAGTTGAGACAGACAGGAGCGACCTGTTCTAAACCCATGTTGCCCTGGGTTGTGTAACTGATGGGCTTCTAGATGGGTGGTGACCTTGCTTCTTAGGACCCTTTCAAAGATTTTTATGATATTGGATGTTAGTGCTATCGGTCTGTAATTCTTTGCTATTGCTTTACTGCCCCCTTTGTGGAGTGAGGCTATGTCTGTTGTTTTTAGTAACTGTGGGACGACCCCCGTGTCCATGCTCCCTCTCCATAGGATGGTAAAAGCTCGTGATAGGGGCTTCTTGCAGTTCTTGATGAACACGGAGTTCCACGAGTCTGGCCCTGGGGAGAATTCAACCAGACGGCGACTGTTAAAGTTGGAAGTAGGGAAGACAGTTTTAGCAGAAGACCAGTCAATAGGATGACTGTGATCTCTGACGTGACAGAAAAGAACATTGCTAGTGTTGGTAAGCCTAACACTACTATTGTGCTCCCTAAGTCTGTCAGAACGAGATCGGCCAGTTTCTCCAAAGTATTGAAGAGGACAGGAGGAACAAGAAATAGAGTAGACACCAGGAGCATCTGTAGAGGGAGGAGAGGTATGAACTAGATTGGTGCGAAGAGTGTTAGTCTGGCGGAAAGTAAGCTTGATGTCTAAGGAACGGAGAGAGTTGTTGAGATTAGAAAGACCGGAAATGTAGGGAAGACTGAGGACAGAAGAGTTCCCAGGAGTAGAGAGTTTAGGAGAGAAGAAATTACGTTTAGCACGTGAGAAGGCAGAGTCTATGAAATGGGAAGGGTAGCCAAGACGGGAAAATGAATTATGTAGAGTGGAAATTTCTGCTTGAAGGAGCTGAGGATTACAAATGCGGAGAGCACGGAGAAAGAGGGAGATAAGAACACTTTTCTTGACAGAGGAAGCATGATAAGAAAAGTAGTGAATGTACATGTCACCGTACATAGGCTTGCACAGTGTTAGTTTATTATGTTTATTATGCACCCCATACCCATCCTGTGGGTGGTGGTCAAAAGATTACAGGGGTACATAATGGCTCCAGGGGACTGGACCCCAAAGTTATGATAGATGAACTAGTTACAAAGGTAATGAACAGTGACATGTAAGGAAAAGGTAAAACCTGTATCTGAGCGGTGGACATGGACATCAAGGAAAGGAAGTAATTTATTAGGTTCCCTTTCAGCTTTAAACTTAATGGAAGGGGCAAGGTTATTAAGAGCATCAAGAAATGGTTGGAAGAGACTAGAGTCACGATGCCACAGAGCAAAGATGTTATCTGTGTATACCTTCTTCTTGATTCCCTGGTACTAGTGTTCCGGGTGTTGTCCAGATGGAGCCGTAATATAATTACATTCATGTACAACTCTGGCATTATGACGGTCGTGGTCGTGCGGCTCCTCATGCGTCTTGAACCTTTATCACCCAACGTCAACACAAACACTATTTAGGGCTCTATATACTAGTGATTATGTATTTTACCAATAAATAACACTAGGTACACCCTAGTATGAAGCTAACAGTGACATAAAATTTATGGAGAACTCTGTTGAAAAGAGCAAGTCAAGGTTTGTTAAATAATTTTCAGCAAATATCCACACCAACCAAAAAAGACAATTCGAAAAAGATACGTATTATTATAAATAAATTATTTATTTAAAAAAATATCATACAAATACTATAGGCATTTTTCGAAATGATTAAATATTACGTTTGATTATATTATAATGTCGATATAATTAGATACATTAGAAGGCTCACGAGACAGCCACTAATTTTGCAAATGAATTTCGGGCAAACTAATCATTAACCACACTAGCAACTTAATTTGAGACCTATAAGAAAATTTGAGTTAGTATAGTTTGGGTAATACACTGCAATCACAAGCATAATGGCTAAAGCTCCCGCTTCACACACGGGGGGCCCGTGTTTGATTCTCGGCGGGTGGAAACATTTCGACACGTTTCCTTACACCTGTTGTCCTGTTCACCTAGCAGCAAATAGGTACCTGGGTATTAGTCGACTGGTGTGGGTCGCATCATGGGGGACAAGATTGAGGACCCCAATGGAAATAAGTTAGACAGTCCTCGATGACGCACTGACTTTCTTGGGTTATCCTGGGTGACTAACCCTCCGGGGTTAAAAATCCGAACGAAATCTTATCTTATCTCAAGTACATATAAATTACACAAATTACATATTATGAAGTGGTAGAATTGGGGTGTTGAAATCTTAGTATGAAAATTTAGACTTTGGATATAACATTTATATGAGATTGTAATAAACACAGTTGGTGAATAAATAGAAGGGCGGACAAGGGGCTCGAACCACGGTCCTTAAATTGATTGTCCAATACTCTACTGTCTAGGCTAACCCAGGCCTCTAATAGGAAGAAATAAGAGGTAATACTGTTACAGGCACCAACTGTAACCCATCTGAACTCCTTCCCTTGGCCCAGGAGCTTTAAAAGTAGGTCTATTCTTACCCACCTCAAAGACATATCATCTATGAACTCAGATTAAGTTGTAAAAAACATGCCAATGAATAAACAGAAGGGTAGATGAGGGGCTCAAACTGTGGTTCGAATGGACACAAATGCACTGGAAAATATACAGAAAAGGATGACGAAGTTGATCCCATGTATCAGGAATCTTTATTATGAGGATAAACTGATGACACTGAATGTGCACTGTTTCGAAAGGCATAAAATTATGGGGGATATGATTGAGGTGTATAAATAGAAAACAGGAATAAATAAAAAAAAGGGGATGTATAAATAAAGTGTTAAAAATATCTAACCAAGACAGGACTCGTAGCAATGGGTTCAAGTTGGAAAAATTTAGATTTAGAAGGAAACCAAACAAACAAAATTTATTTCTTTGCAAGATTACATTGAGATTATGAAATTACAATAATGAGTTACAGTACAAAGAGCCACTATCATGCCATGGCATTATGGGCAGACTTAATTTAATGGCTTCCAGACTGCTTAATACTAAAGAAATTCATCATAGTTTGTTTAAGTTGTACATATTTTTTTTATTTATAGTTGACAGTAATTGTACTCAAATTACAATAGTTTCCATAGTAAATATTGAAATTATATTATGGGAATATAACTTTGTGAGTTGTTGAACATAGTTTACAATATGAGAATGTTATAATTGAGTGTAAGGCAGTATTGTTTTGGGTAGGTATTTATTCTACAATGTAGTATTAATAAGTATGAACCTTGGGCATCTAGATTTGAAGTTTTAAGATTTGGGTAATTGGGAGATTTTTTGATCAAGTTAAATATTGAGTATTGAGTATTTAGTTTAGGGTGAGTAGATGGTTTTTGAGAAGAGTCTTAAATTGATGTTCAGACCGGGTATAGTATTTACTGGTAATGAATTCCAAATTTTGGGGCCCTTTATGTGCATAGAGTTTTTACACAGTGTGATATGGACATGGGGTATATCAAAAAGAGATCTGTGTCTTGTGTTATGGTCGTGTGTTCTGTTAAGGTTGGTAAGGAGAAGTTTGAGTGGAGGGTTTATGTTTGAGTGTACTGTTCTATGTATGTAGTAGGCACAAGAATAAGTATGGATATTCTTAACGGTGAGCAGATTTAGACAATACAATACAATACAATACTTTATTTGGACATGATACATAGTTGTACAAGGAATTATAGTAGTTGGGTGTACATGCCAAAAGCTTCTTGTATGCAGAGCATTATGGGCAGGCTTAAAATTAACTTAAAATTAACTAAGCAATGGTAGATTCAGTGGTAAAAATTACCGTAAACAATTTACAATATGAAGTACAATTTAGTATTTGAAATAATGAAGTTTGAACATTTTGATTTTGAAGCATTTAGTTGTGAATTTGTCACATTACAATGTATAACAACAAGATGATCAATTTGCTATTAGTTGTCTTGAGGTTTTAAGATTTAAGTAGGTAAGACACATATGCAACAGTTAGGTATCTTTATTATGAAACGTTTCGCCTACACAGTAGGCTTCTTCAGTCAAGTACAGAAAAGTTGATAGAAGCAGAAGATACTTGAAGACGATGTAATCAGTCCATCACCCTTAAAGTTTTGAGGTGGTCAGTCCCTCAGTCTGGAGAAGAGCATTGTTCCATAGTATGAAACAATATTGTTTCATACTATGGAACAATGCTCTTCTCCAGACTGAGGGACTGACCACCTCAAAACTTTAAGAGTGATGGACTGATTACATCGTCTTCAAGTATCTTCTGCTTCTATCAACTTTTCTGTACTTGACTGAAGAAGCCTACTGTGTAGGCGAAACGTTTCATAATAAAGATACCTAACTGTTGCATATGTGTCTTACCTAACAACCTGTCGGTATTTTATACCATTTTAATGTTCAAGATTTAAGTAAATGGGAGATTTATTGGTAAAGTTAAATATTGAGTATTGATTATTTAGTCCAGGGTTTTTTAAAAGAGTCTTAAATTGATTTTCAGACCAGGTTACTTTAGTATTTTCTGGTAATGAATTCCAAATTTTGGGGCCCTTTAAGTGCATAGAGTTTTTACAGTGTGATATGGACACGGGGTACATCAAAAAGAGATCTGTGTCTTGTGTTATGGTCGTGTGTCCTGTTAAGGTTGGTGAGGAGAAGTTTGAGTGGAGGGTTTATGTTTGAGTGTAGTGTTCTATGTATGTAGTAGGCGCAAGAATGAGTGTGGATGTTCTTTATGGTGAGCAAGTTTAGACTTTTGAATATTGGTGGAGTACGCTGTCACGAGTGGGAATTTGTTATCATTCTGACTGCAGCCTTTTGCTGGGTTATTAGTGGTCTTAGGTGATTTAATGTTGTTGATCCCCATGCACAAATCCCATATGTGAGATAAGCGTAGATGAGTGAATGATACAGTGCAAGGAGAGCTGATTGTGGAACATAGAGATTTTCTTAGAAATTTGTTGTGTGTGTGTCTGGAATTTGAGGCTACTGTCAAAGTGGATTCCTAGGAATTTTCCCTCTGTGAGTCTTGTGATGGGTGATCCATTTAGCATAAGTTAAGTGGAATATTTGCAGCTCTGTTTCCAAACTGAATGAAATGGGTTTTGTCAGTATTGAGGGTAAGCTTATTTGTCATTATCCAGGTACAGTGGTCCCTCGTTTTTCGTAATTAATCCGTTCCTGGAGCCGTTACTATAAACGAAATTTACGATTTGCGAATCAATTTTCCCCATAAGAAATAATGTAAATACAATTAATCCGTTCCTGACACCCAGAAGTATTAAAACAAAAAATTTTTTTACATGAAATATACATATAGTACATAAACAATACAATGGGAAATGATGAATGAAACATTAACAGCATAACACTTACCTTTATTGGAGATTCTTCTTAGTGTATGGGAGACTGAAGGAGGAGAGAGATTGGATTGTTTACAGTTTGGAAGGGGAATCCCCTTCCAGCAACACCTCAGGTACCAATTGCTTCTCTGGGGTTCTTCTCTTCTCTGTTTCTTAATGCCACTAGGACCACCTTGAGAGTCACTCTTGTCCTGTCTCGCAAAGTAACTTTGGAGAGAGCTGTTTCTGGTGTCTCTTTAACACTTCCCGAAAATGGCCCAAGACTTTGTCACTGTACATATTTCTCACCTTCTTTACCACAGGCTTAGCACTAGGAGCTTTCTTTGGAGCCATGGTAGCTTGTTTAGTAATTGCAAGCACTAAAATGAGTGGAATATTATGAAATATTTCTTAGGAGCACTTGAGGGGACCTTCACTCACTGGTAAACAATGGCAGACTGGCTGGGTAGGGAGGCCGCCTGGGCTCACACCGTGCGTACGCGTCCCGGACGAACTACTATTCATGAGTCAACCTATGAAAAGCAAGTCCATGTTTATACGAAAATACCCCTATGATTGGCGAAATTTACGATTGCCGAGAACTACGAAAAGCGAGGGACCACTGTAGTTTTTTTCTGCAATTCGGCATTAACAGTGTTAGCTAGTATGACTGGGTTTGGGTGAGAGAAGACGTATGTTGTGTCACCTGCAAATAATATGGGTTTGAGTAGCTGTGATGCATTCGGTAAGTCACTGATGTAAATGAGAAAGAGGAGTGGGCCAAGGACACTTCCTTGTGGGACACTGGCTGTGATTGGTTGAGTGGAAAAGTTTGCTCCATTTGTGTACATATATTGGCTTTTGTTACTAAGGTATGACTTTAGGTAGTTGAGGGAGTGCCCTCTTATACCATAGTGTGTTAATTTAATATGCAGTAAATCATGGTCAACTGTATCGAAAGCTTTACGTAAATCAATGAAGATTCCCAGCAGGACTTCCTTCTTCTCTAGAGCAGTGTATATTAGTTCTAGCATGTATATAATAGCATCATTTGTGCTTTTATTAATCCTGAATCCAAACTGACAGGGGTTTACTATGTTGTGTGAGACGAGGTAGGAATAGATCTGTCTATGAATTAATTTTTCAAAGATTTTAGAGAGCAGAGGTAGGTTAGATATTGGTCTATAGTTACTCAAGTCAGTTTGATCACCTCCTTTGTGGATTGGGGTGACCCTTGCTATTTTGAGAATTGCTGGGAAGGTGGAGGATTCAATGGCTTTGTTAAAGAGTGTTGCAATAATTGGTGACAGTATTTGTGAAGCTTTTTTGTACATAAAAGGTGGTAAATTATTTATGTCTCCTGCCTTGTTTTTAAGGGTGTTGATGATGAGCGAGACTTCTGTTGGGTTGGTTGGGGCTAGGAGTAGTGTATTTGGGTAGGTGCCTATGATGGACAGGTGTTTGAGCTTGGGATTTTGCTTGCTAGATTCTTTCCTATGGTGGAGAAGAAAACAATAAGTCTGTTTGCTGTTTCAGTTGGTGGGAGTAGGGGTTCGTCTGATTTTGGTAATTTGATTATTCCGTTTTTGGATATCTTCTTAATTCCTAGAATTTCGGATAGGGTTTTCCAGGTCTTTTTCATATTGCCATTCATGTTATGTACTGTAATCTGTTTTCATAATACAATTTTTTTTGACCTTATCAGGCTGGCAAGGATTGACGAGTAACGTTTAGAATGGTCTCTAGTTATTTGATCCATTCTGTACTGTTTTTCATATAGGTGCTTTATGTTAATCAATTTAAGGATGCTGGGTGTTAGCCAGGGACTGTTCGGTCTCATAGCTGTGATCTGTTTAGTTTTTTAGGGCAATGCTTGTTATAGAGGTAGTGGGTATAGGAAAGCATTTCTTTGGAACAAGCTCCCGAGTAGCGTCATTGAAGTGAAAATCTTCAGTACCTTAAAAAATAGGTTAGACAAATACATGAGTGGGTGTGGGTATGAGTCAGACCTGCTTAGCTTGGGCCAGTAGGTTTGTTGCTGTACTCTTTCCTTCTTCAGTGGGTGTGAGTTGAACTTGCCTAGCATGGACCAGTAGGCCCTCTGCAGTGCTCCTTCTTAATGGTCTTACATACATATATATATATATAGTATACATATGTACATAGTACATATGAGCTAAAGATTTCCACCCCCGTGGCTTATCTTGCATTGTTAAGATCACCTGTCTGCGATTGTTCCCAGACATACTGTATATACGTGCATACATACTGCACTGTATATTTTAATAGCATTTTTATACATATTTCAATTATTAATTTCTTTCAGATGCAGAGGGTGAGGATCAGCCTTCCATGGTTCTCTCCATGGATGTTGGGGCAAAATTTAATTAATCCAGAATCTCACTGTTGGATGGCATATCTTCCAAGGCTCCATTATCAACAGCTTCATTGCATTCACCAACATTATTTTTCATCTATCAGATTCCTCCACATCCTTCCTGCTACTCATCTGCTGAGATTTCCTAAGACATTTCTTCTTCATGGACACGTAGTCCCTCCTAAGATACGAAGTCATACAAGATCTCTTAGTCATACTAGTGATGATGATGATGATTCTGGCATCGTTAGTGATTCCGAATTTGATGTTAAGAGCTTTGATAGAGGCAGAGTATTAAACAACGAAAAGCTTAAATGTCTGAGAGTTAATTTGTACCCAAATTCCAGTGATCCAGTTTTGAAAGAAATAAACGAAGCCAGTAGTGTTCAGGAAGTGTTTGATGTGGTTGAAAAAGGCAGAGAATATTTAACAGCAGAACAATCAAGTCAGGCTATTGTTACCTTATGGGATCTTCAAAAGATTTATGGAAAATATGGCATGCATTGCTCCTCTGTTACAAATTCTCAACTAAATTATTTCATAGAAAAAATTGTGAACCATTCTTCATTTAAAAAGTTATTAGTAAGCTTAGAAAATGTCTGTGAAGATTTAAGTAATACTGGAATTTCTTGTATGCTTTTGTATTTAAGTAAATTAGGATTGAGGACTGATACAACTCTTATGGAAAAACTGTCAGTATTGTGTTTGGAGAGACTAGATGGCTTTAGCTTAAATGCACTCTCAAGACTTACTGTATATCTTCGTGATCAAGGCATTAAAGCTTATTTTATGCAGTCAAAGATATTACCTCTCATGGCAGATAAACTCAAAAATTTCTCAACACTTGATGAATTACATTTGATAACCATATGTTTTTATAATACCAGGAGGCTTATTACAGCCCCTTTAATTGATGAATATAGAAAAATGATTGAGAAACACTTAGAAGAAGGTTTTTTTGAAGCTAATCAACCTAAAGTAATATTGAAAATTGTAAGTCTTCTTAACTACATGGAATGGTCACCAAAGTATAGGTTACTGTGCCATCGCATATTGTTGCATACAATAGATAAAGTGCACTTACTTAGTGTTGCACAAGTCATGGATTTAACTATTTATTTCCAGAACTTTTTTGAGCCACGGGAATTGTTCATCAAGATTCATCATTATTCTTTATCACAGTTTGAAATTTCTAAAGATACTAGTGACCCTGAACTCTTATGTTTAGCTCCTCTTAGTTCAACAAGAACAAAGAAATACTTTGAAGAGTTAGTTGCTGAGCATCTTGATAATTCAGATCTTCATGATTATATTGGAATAATTTTCAGGGTTTTGAGATATTTCAAAATATCAGATAAAAGGATTTGCAATGATTTTTGGATTAATTCTTTGAATGCTGTTGAGAAAGAGATTGAAAATGCTTCCAGTTCTTACCTTGGCCTTAAAGAGCTCTTGCGCAGAAAGGTATACCGGAGATACATGTACTTCAATAATAATCTTGGTGGAACATACAGAAATTTTCATCTGGAAAATATTATGTCGTCATTGCTTCTCAAGGATGTGCGCAGTCAGACTGGACTTATACCAAGCAAGCTGGCCAGTATGGTATCATTTCTGATTGCCTATAATAAAAGTAAGGGATTACCAGAAGATGTTGTAGGGAAAATTCTTGAATGTGGACCGCAGTTTTCTATCAGTGACACCTTAAATTTATCCCGGGGTATCCAGATTGCATTGGCTTTAAATCCAAAGACCACTCAAAGGAGAGTGATAGAGCAAATTACAGCAGTATGTCGCTTGCTGGATGTCTGTGCAGAACAACATTTAAAGGTATGTTTAAACATGTTTGTCTTAATAATTTAAGATTGATAAAACAAATAATATAAAAAACACTATTTAACAAGACTGATAAATGATAAATGTTTTCTACAACGTACAGTTTACAATTAATTCAGGAATAGGTGACATACATACTTTATAGAAAGCCCCTGGTTATGCAGAGCATTTCAGGTACTTTAAAATAAACTTATAACTACTATTGGAGCTAGGTACATAGTAGGTTGGTAGATGGCAACTGCCCAGTGAGGTACGTACTACTGTCCTGCCAAGTGAGTGTAAAACGAAAGCCTGTAATTGTTTTACATGATTGCTGGTGTCTTTTTTCTGTCTCATAAACATGCAAGATTTCAGGTATGTCTTGCTACTTCTGCTTACACTTAGGTTACACTACACATGCATGTACAAGCATATACATGGTACCCCAGTTTTTGTCTGGTCCGGTTATCATACAATTCAGTTTTCAACCACTTTTTTTGGTGAATTTTTCCCCATTTTCACACATCCACTCGGAAATCGTCTGTACCAGACACGTCCGCCTACCTGCGGGACATGGCCGCTCATACGTTCATGACTCAGTCTGCCTTTGTTACTCGTTCAGTGAGCATTACTCCACGCTTTCATCTGAAACATTTCGTAATACATGTAATCAATTTTTTTTTGTGCTTGCAAGACCTTCATCTGGATCAGCAACAGACCTTAGCTGAGGAAATTGCTTCAGAGGAGGAGGAGGAAGAGAGAGGGGAGAATGTGCCTTCTTCAGCAATTAAGGACATTTGTGCAAAGTGGAGTGTGGTGCAGAGTTTTGTGGAGAAATATCACACTGACAAGGCTGTTGCAAGCCATGTCAGCAACATGTTCAATGACAATGTCGTGTCCCATTTTAGGAAAATCTTAAAGAGATGCGAGAAACAGGCCTCTCTGGACAGATTTTTTTGTGCGACAGAGGTCCAGTGACTCTCAAGCTGGTCCTAGTGCCAGTAAAAGACAAAGAAGGGAAGTAACCCTGGATAGGGCTTTGATACCTGAAGTCCTTATGAAGGGGGATTTCCCTTCCAAACAATAACCTCTCCTCCCTCTTCCCTCCTCGCCGTCTTCCATACACCAACGAGTCTTCAATAAAGGTAAAAGTGATGTTAAATGTTCATTTATCCATTTCATTAGTGCTTTATATTTATCTCTCATTGTTTTCTGTATGTAAAAATATAGTTATTGTTTATGAAATTTATTTTTTGTTAATATTTTTGGGTGTCTGGAATGGATTAATTGGATTTACATTATTTCTCATGGGTAACATTACTTCAGTTTTTGTACAAATCGGATTAAAGATGAAAATCGGGGTTCCACTGTATATACACACCCCTCTGAGTTTTCTTCTATTTTCTTACTAGTTCTTGTTCTTGTTTATTTCCTCTTATCTACATGGGGAAGTGGAACAGAATTCTTCCTCCATAAACCATGCGTGTCATAAGAGGCGACTGAAATGTCGGGAGCAAAGGATTAGTAACCCCTTCTCCTGTATACATTACTAAAGTTAAAAAGAGAAACTTTTGTTTATCTTTTTGGGCCACCCTGCCTTGGTGGGATATGCCCAGTTGGTTAGTTTTTAGTTTAATATGTTCATTATGCACCCCATACCCATCCTGTGGGCGGTAGTCAAAAGATTACAGAGGTACATAATTGGTCCAGGGACTGGACTCCAAAGTTTTGATAGCTGAGCAAGTTACAAAGGTAATGAACTAGATCTGGTCATAATCATGCCCAAGTTACAAAGGTAATGAGCTCCAGGTAGAGCTGGTCACACTCATGAATAATTGCAAAGGTAATGAATCAAACACATTAATCATGAGAATTTACAAAGGTAATGAGCTTCAGGTAGAGCTGGTCACAATCATGACAAGTTTCAAAGGTAATGAATGATAAACACGTTATCACATGATTACAATCATAGACAAATTACAGAGTAATGAGCAGTTAACAAACATAGTAGGGAAGTCATCCAATGCCCCAACAACAGATGTTGCTAGGTGGCTGTCTCTCCTCGGCAGACAGCCATTGCAAACAGCAGCAAGTTGCCCCGGGATCTGCTGCTTGCACAAGCACCATCGACCCTCCCCAAGAGGTCCAAGAAGCCAGTGACTCTGTTAGCAGCTCGATGGGGAGCTGCCCTAGGGACATGTCAGCGTCCTGGTGGACGTCAAGTTGATTGAAGATCCCAGGCCCTCGTGTACATGGATGTTGAAGCTTGAGGAACTGAGTACACACTGCCTGTGGCACACCTGACAGCTGCCTCGCGGTCGAACTCCACGATGCTGTCCCTGTAGTAGAAGCTCCTGAGAGCCCGGCGCTCCCTGCAGTGCCATTGCTGACATCGTGGGTTAGGGGAGAAGTACCCTTTATAGATGGGGTGGCGCTGGTAGTTGGGTGGGTGAGGCGGGGGAGACGGGCAGGAGTGAGGCGTTATGAGAGGGTCACTGTTTACTACACACGCCCTCCCCCTCCCCCCCAGCGGAGAGGGGGGGAGGCGCTGACTGGTCCTGACTCAACAACACCAAACCCTCTAAAACTGCACAACACTTCAACTATTTACGCTGAAACGATGCACTGGGATGTCCGTTCGCTGCTCTGGTATCTTCTCAAAGTATTCACACTGAGTTCTGTTAAGTAGGGACCTGGTCAGCCTCTTTGACCAGGAGCTATCCTTGAAAATCCCGCAGCTAGCCCGCTACACAACCTGCCGCGTCGGCCATGACAGTGATTATGCCAGTTGGTTGAAAGAAGAAAAACTACTATTGGAATTTTTTTAATGGACATACTGTTGGAATATAAGCGAGGTAATGTTTGTGACGGGATTTAGGGAAAACTGTTTAGCCAGACTTGATGCCTGGAGGTGGGAAGCGTAGTGCCTGTACTCTGAAGGAGGGGTGGGGATGGTGCAGCTGAATGGTAATCTAAATTGTGATGTCAGCACACTAATGTTTCATAGTGATTGTATGAATGATGGTGAAAGTGTTTTCTTCTTTGGGTAATCCTGTTTTGGCATGAGATGGCCACTGAAGTCTAATATAAGAAAAATGTGGAATATTACAATTAATATCCTCTGATGGCAGCACAGTGGAACAAATGGACTGTGTGACTAAGACAAAATTTAAGTAAAAAAAATATTTTAATAATGTACACACACATATTACAAAGAACTAATGACTTTAAATCAGATTATTTGCTTTGTTATTGGGTTTGTCGTGCATCATAATGCCAGAACATGCAGCATCTACCTGCCTGCCTGCAGAGGAAAGTTAAGCCTGGTCTCAGACCGGGCCACGGGGGCGTTGACCCCCGAAACCCTCTCCAGGTAAACTCCAGGTAATAGTGTACTTGCTGATCTTTCAGGTGTAGTAAAAATGACACTTTACTGGTAATTGGTGAAGGAAGCATGGAGGACACAAGTAATCCCATGGTCACACTTCGTAAATGACATTCATGGCTTTTGAGATTAGTACAGTGGAACCTCGGTTTTCGTCTTTAAATCATTCCAGAGAGTCTGACGATAACCGAATTCGATGAAAACTGATGCAATATTTCCTATGAGAAATAATGTAAATCCAATTAATCCATTCCAGACACCCAAAAATATTAACAAAAAATATATTTTATAGAGAATAACTATAGTTTTACATACAGAAAACAATGAAAAATGAGTATAAAACACTAATGAAAGGGATAAATGCACATTTAACATCACTTTTACCTTTATTGAAGACTCTTGTTGGTGTATGGAAGATGGCAAGGAGGGGAGAGGGAGGAGAGGTTATCTCTACCACCATCACTACCACCCTCTACCACAGTCACTACCACCCTTTACTACCATCACTACCACCCTCTACCACCATCACAACTACTACCACCCTCTACCACCATCACTACCACCCTCTACCACAATCACTACCACCCTCTACCACCATCACTACCACCCTCTACCACAATCACTACCACCCTCTACCACCATCATAACCACTACCACCCTCACAACCACTACCACCCTCACAACCACTAACACCTTCAACCACCATCACTACCACCCTCTACCATCATCACAACCACTACCACCCTCTACCACCATCACTACCACCCTCTACCACAGTCTCTACCTTTGTAGAGGGTAGTAATGATATTTCTCCACAAAACTTTGCAACTCATTCCACTTTCATACTTTGCTATGAGTTCTTTCTTGAATTCTATCGGATTTCTCGCCTTCTTTATCAGAGGGCTGTCACTTGAAACTTTCTTTGGCCCAATGGTGGCTTATTTAGCAGTTGCACTCAATAAACAAGCACAAAAAAGGGTTATTACAAAATGTTTCGTATGAATGCACAGGGTAATGTTCACTTGATGAGAAACAAAGCCAGACTGATTCAGAATGCATGCATGGGATGCTTTGTGTGGGCACAGGTAAACGGACATGTTCCATATGGTGGACGAAAACCGAGGTGATGGACGAAAACTGGGACAATATTTTGACGACAAGAGTCGTCAAAAACCAAATTCGACGAAAACCAGAGCAAACAAAAACCGAGGTTCCACTGTATGACATTATATTGCTTACATCCAGGCCCTTTTCCTGAGGAACACAGTCATATATGCATCTTAATGAAACTTCTTCCTATGATGCTTTTTTTCAACCTCTCTTTGCAACAGGGGATATTCAACTTCCTTCCCAAGTCAAACACCACCCATGAGTTATTGACAAGTTACATTTATAATCACGAATGCTCAGGACTGTCTTAAATGTTGTGATTCTACATGAATACACTAATGATAACTGGCTGCTATAAGCTAAAATTTGATGTTTGGGCCTTTGTTAGACCTGTCAACCCTTTGTGTTAAACCATTGACTCTCATTGGGTTGTATACCTTTGAAGAGTTTTGAGAGTTTCACTACTCTCGGAGCCTGTCCATGGGCCAGGCTTGCCTGGTGCTTGCCTGGTGCTTGCTTG